CAGAAATGTTAACAAACATTCCGCGTGTTTAAGTTTTTAAAAACGGAAGGCTAATAACCAGTCAACAAACCAAATCAGAGGTAAACAACAATATTATCGACAATCCCACACCAGATCCACGAACTATTATTGCTTATTTTGTTGGATTACGCTGTCGAATCTGACGGGATATCAAGCATTGCCATTGTTTACAGTGACTGAAAATAAACTCATCATTATCAATCCTGTGCTTTATCTGTGACGAATACGTAACGATCAAATTCGTACCCAAATTGATTTTCGGATTAAAACTTCAATCATTCAAATCCACGGGACCATTAGCAATTTGGGATAATAAACACTGAGATTACAGATTACCTAGATCAACACAAAAATCCCATTAATTTGCTACATAAAATCGCATACTAACAATTTTTTAAAAACATTCTTAGCAATAACTTCGATGATTAAACCTGAAAAGTATTTTCGAAGTTTATTTATAGACGCACAAATAGAATGGGAACATTGACATTTTCCAAATGAGTTACAAAAATGATAAACAGCATCTAACAAAAGCGAAAAACAAAAAATAAAGACGAAAGAAAACAGACGACGATCGCAAAACAAACGAGTAACCTAAATAATCCGTAAACAAACGTCCGGTGTAGTAAAAACGGATTCCCACCGTAAACGTACGAAAACATGACGTCACATATCCGAAAACAGGACCGGCTTTTAATCAAATTTTCAAAAAAATGAAACCAAAAACTCTTTCACTCCGTTTCAGCAACATTTTTCTGGAAAAACCCTTTTTTCAGAGTGGATAGGCGGTCATATTTTGTATGCAAAATCTTTTTAAGGCGGCTTCTCTATTTCAATAAAATCGAAATATAAATAAGAAATATTTATGAAGGTCGTTTTAAAAGGTCGTTTATCAACGTTAACCCCGTAAATAAATTACACCCTCTTCGCTATAAATATCGAGTTTACTTTAGTGAATAAATATTGGAAAAGCTCTCTTGATGTTATTTATATAAACTCATCATAAATCTTGGATTTTTTTAAATATTCTATATAGGCTGAGTTGATGGATTTTATCAATTTTTATGGGATAAAGACACTTAATATATCTGATATATTAACGTAGCTTATTGAATTTATGTTGTGGTTATTGAAATGAGGAAATAAACGTTTTGATATACCTCTCTTTGATTTTGCACCACTTTTCATCTGCTGCCATTTTTTCTGCTTTTCCTTTTACCATCTATCACCTACTGCTATCACACATCTACTTTTATCTTCCGCCGTTTTGCAGTTTCCTTGCAGTTGCCTTGGACCAGACGTTAACACCACTAAAGTATTAAAGGATTCCATGCTTTTGAATAACCTTGTACATAAAATTCCTCTATATAACTAGTAATACAACGTCTTGCTCTCGTGAAAGTTTGATTTCTACATATAACCTCAAGTATTTGACTAGTTTCTAAAGTTCGGAGGCGTTCAAGACACCTAATGCAAATATGAATAATTTTGTCATATCCTTCTTGTAACAAAAGTTTTTGGTATTGACCCAGTTACATAAACTGCCACACCACAACCTGCTCAGCTAAAATATTCAAAACTTTCAGCAGTGTTAGTACAAGTAATAGAGTCAATGTCATCAATAAATAGTAAACAATTGAATTAAATCTAACACTTGTGTTGCGCCGTATTAAATGAGATTAACTCAAGACTCACTTCTATCTCTGACCTACACAGTTAGGATTGTATGTTATTGGCAGTGCGTAAAATATTAATTATCTACGACTGCTTGGATAAGTCATCATTACCGCACTCATTTGAGGTGATTTTCATTATACATTTCAGAAGTCTATAAAGATTAGCTATATTAAACTTATAAGACGTTTTCCACCAAATCTATTTCTTAATAGAGCTATTCAGTTGAGTTAATACATACCATACATTCACCACGTTCTTATCCCGGCATCGCGTTACGAATCAAGTATTGGTTGTTACGATTATCGAACATGCAGTGTTTGGTTAGACTATGCCGATCATGTGACCGTTGCAAAACGGTGTCCACAAGATCCACCCAGTCTATGGGATGTGATGATTGTAGACATTTAGGGGACAAAAGAGTTTGCATTTGTGTTGTCAGCTCTCTTCAGTCGTCTTGATGGAACTGCTTCTAATCAAGAGCAACGAAGCAGAAAAAATGTAATTCGATTTTTCGACAAGAAATCGCAGATTGGGTACTGTCGCGGTATTTTATTCGATAATGAACGTCAATTTAGCATGTTAATTAAAACTTAAACATGCGACGATAGGACTGCTTGCATTGTATGACTCTATTTATTAGAAATTTACAAAGACTTGTCGGAAGCCTGTCACCCGAAAATTTATTGCTCTACTTTTGGATTATGAACCGACACAATCTGGGAAATGGTTTTTGATGGAGCAAGAACTACAGAAGCAGAGATGAACGAACATCAATATAAACAATGATGAAAGAGCCCCAACCACTTTTATTGTTCCTTGTAATTAAATATTGGATATGGCAACACATCATCAACAAAATAGCGAGCCCTGAAACCTACTGTGTATTTTTTGTGGCACAATAGCCAAGGCAATGTAATCTCCGCTAGCTAAACACATCCCCTCCTTGTACCAAACACCTTGAAAGAAGGATTGTTACCAGAATTGAGGCGTATTTGGGTTATTGATGAAATCTTCTGTATAATACAGCTACCGCTTTATAGCCTAGTAGTAATATTATGTGATATATTAGCATAGTTTATTGAATTTATGTTGTGATTATTGAAAAGAGTAAATAAATGTTTTGAGATACCTCTCTTTGGTTTTGCACGACTTTCCATCTACTCCTATCTTCTGTTATTTCTACCCCTACTTACTTCTATCTATTTTCTTTATTTCTCTTTCTGCCATCTATCATCTACTACTATCACACATCTACTTTTATCTTCTGCCGTCTTGCAGTTGCCTTGTAATTGCTTTAGACCAGATATTAACGTAACCAAAAACTTTACCTGCATATATCCCCACATCATTGGATTTCATGCTTTAGAATAACCTCAAACAAAAAATTTTTCTTTTTAACTAGTAATACAACGTGTTGTTCTTATGAAAGGTATCCATAATCACTGCTAGCTAACACATCACCTTCTTAAACCAAGCACCTTAAAGGAAGGATTGTAGCCTAATAGAACACGTCATTCATCATACAACCTCGGCAACACCTAAATGCTAGGCCATATAAGAACAGGTGGGGCACTCAACAGTATGAAGTTCAAGTACTCGTCTAAAAACGTGCCAATAGGCTTTTGACTTATTTTAAAGTTATAGTTTATATTTTAAAAAAATAAAAGATAAGTAAAATTCTACTTCTGATTATGTAATACCCCGGAAATTTAATATATAGGATGATTCATAATTCATGGGCAATATTTTGGATTATGATGCAAAATAAAATTTTAAACAAAAAAATATTTTGTTCAATCCTACCTTCGAAATTGTCAGTTTCTAACTTGGATACGAGTGAATACGAGTGTTGAAAGTTGTTATTTGCATTCACTCTGCTGACTGAGTGAAATTTTGTTTCAACCACTGTTAGCTAAATATAAAACCTTTAAAGGAACAAGTCTTTGTTTAGAGTATTTCACTTCTATAAAGCAATAATTTTAATCAATTTATTAATTTTATGCATAATGATAACAATTAACAATTTGACACAAATGGTTGTAACATATATATATCAATTAAGAGCATGACAATCAGTGACAATGTCAAAAACTGTTGTCGTCGCCGACATGTCGACATGAAATTACTCAGGAATTATCGAATTTCAAAACGGGTTTTCTCTAAATAGTAGGTATGAACAAAACGCTATACAGCACACGTGGGAAACTTATATTTTGCACTAACTTGTATGTCTTTCCACACGAGCCTTTGGCTTGTGTGGAAATCGGACATACGCCTTCATGAAAAATCATAGTTTCCTCACTTATGCTGTAATATACTATTACACATTTTAGCACAGAAACTTTATCGTTGATAATAAATAACGTTTTCGGAAAAAAGAGTTGTCATAAAAACGCAATAATGTAAATATATAAAGTCAAATATAAAGTACGAAAGAAGAATTCTTGCCTGGTTAAATAACCATTTTAATGCAAAATGTTCTTCAGGCTTGTCTGCCAGTAGGGGCAAATATTTATATTATGTTTAGTTTTTTTTGTGTTGATCTGTATTTGTAAGAATATAACTCGGTCTGAGACAGGGACAAAATTAATGACGGATGCCATAATATCTTTTCAGACACTAATTACGACACCATGTTCCATCGAGGTACAGCATGTACAGCAGGTACAGCATGCTTTGTTGGGACTTGGCCATAACCTGGCCATCTTGTTTCATTGATTCTATAGATGTTGAGCTTCAGTCTTTGCATTTCGTGTATGATATTATGCATTTTTCCAAGTTGTACGACCTCACATTCCTTGTGCCTATCTTTATCTTGTCTGTTTCTGACAATTTAGTTCTAAATATATTATATTTAACTTATACAGCTATGCTAATTTTCTATACTAAGGATATCCGTAGATCCTTAATGTAGTAATTTCTTGTAAATTACTGTATAACTTGTAAGCAAAGCTTACAAGCTTTATTTTCTATCAGAATCCAAAATATTGCATATGTATTATGAATCATCCTGTATTTCGTCCATTCCTTGACTACGTAAACGCTAAAGCAAAAAAATTTTAAAACCATAGATTAATAAAAAAAATCCGTATTAATTTATAAAAAAGAAGCTTTAGGTGTACAAAAGAATGTCCGAGAATTTTATATAGCGTTATATAAAATACGAGAAAGTTGAGTGTAGTCGATTCCATTTAATTACACATTATTTAAGGATTTTTGGCTGTTTCGATGATAGAAAAATAATATTTTTAATTTAAAAAATCTGTTCAATCATTTAAATCCGTCTCTGTTTCTTATATTCGATTTAATTTGTATCTTGTTGATTACAAACCGAGCGAAGTACGAAGCTCGGCCCCACGCATACAATCCCCGCACGTTATCGGTTTTATTCAAGTCTAGAGTTAGTCAGTCAAAACAGAAAAACCGGGACGGACGGACATAGCGCAAATCGTTGGAATTCCTTTCGTCCGTTGTCCGATCGAAACCTTGCATTTGCCGTTTCTCAGAAAAACAACCAGGCTGGCTTCAACACCAAAACACGCGAGGCAGTTGTTGTTGGTGCAGTTGGTAGTGGCAGGTGTTTTCCCCCAACTCCACCCCGAAAAAAAATTCACTACGAGAGAATCATTTGAGCGCGGGCTGTGGCCCGTTTTTGGGAGGGGTTGTAAAAAGTGTAAATAATCAAGAAAATATGTGCTCTTCCGATGTGATTTCGGGATATTTAGATGTCAAAATATCCGCGAGGAAACGTCGTGGATTCACACCGTGGAAAGTAAGTTATTTGGATATCTAAATTCGTCTCCATTTTCTAATTAAAAAAATAACACGTTTTTTTGGCAACTTTAGGCTTGGCAAAAACAATGGTGTGAAATCAAAAGGTTGGATAATATCGAAAATGGTGTTGAATTAAAATTTAAATCATCAGCCGATGGATCTGTAATTAGCAATGTGGTTTTACCAAGGTCTTCGACCCTTTGCAGAACAGATTCGCGAACGAAACAATACGCTTTTGGTGTGTTTACTTTGGGAAGAAATCAAAAACCTTTATTGTTTTTATCTGGAAGCAGCGAAAGCGACAGTCAACTTTGGATGGCTTCAATCAGACGCTTGTTGTGTGTTGCAACTTATTTACCTGGTGAGAAAAATATGTTTTTCAACTCGTGCTAGATATTAAAAAAAATATACTTGAAGGCATTTCGATTGAGTCATACCTTAACCTACGTTAGGAGAAAAGTAAATAAAATGCAATAAGTTTATTTACTTTCTTATCTTGGTTTATAATAGTTTTGAATTTCAAACCTGTAGTTACTTAATGTATTTATAACAGGTTGCTAAGTTTTAACTAATCAAATAACAATTAGTTAATGTGAAATCAAGGGGAAATACCTTGTTGTTTGTTGGTTTTAAGGTAATTTAAATAACTCAGATATTAATCTTATTAATTATTCTTTGTAAACATTGATTGAAGTCACAAAAACATCTTGTTATTTGTTGTTTTTGAGAAGATTTAAAATAAGCCTTTTAAATTCTAGTTAAACAAGAAAATATAACCTTACTTTTAATCCGTTTTAGTTGGAGATTCCAATTTTCATGTCTCCATCATTGATAATGCTCATTCAAGAGCAGCCGGTTTAATTGGGATTCATGGAGTTTTAGGGACTAACTCCCAAGATATGGTTATAAGTGATCCATGCACTGGGGAACCTAAAATAAGTTGGAAATGGTATCAATTTCATCAATTTCACTTACAAGCACCTTGTCATCCAAACGATGAAAAAACAATTTGTGTTATGCATACAAGCACGTAAGTATTTTTACCAAAAAATTTTAATTTTTGTCAACAACAATTCTACAATTCAAAAACATAACCTCTAATTTAAATTATGACATTTGTTTTTTGTTGTGATTTGATGGTTGCCATGGTTACCAAGATTAAATATTATTGACAACCAATTATATTTATGGCGGGATTTTTGAATTATTAATTAAATGTTTGTTAATTAATCTAACATTTTAATTTTTTTATAGGGAATTTGTAGCCGGTCCTGGTCAATTATACATTTACTGTAAAGAATCGCCTAGACTTCTCAATTACTTAGTTGGTAGAGGTAAATGCCCCAAATACAGCCCAGGTTTTTTATCATCGAGACGTTTGAGTCGTAGCGAAGGAGATCTTTGTGATTCCACCTCCAAAGACGTCCCCGATAGCCCAATTTGTTTCAGAAGTAATAGTGGAAGTGAAGATTCAGGAGTTAGAGTTTCAATGACTTCAGATGACTTTTCTATCAAAAGCAGGGTATGATAAACAATGATTTAATCCACAACTAAATAAATTAACTTATTTTTTTCTAAATTAAAGATGGGGTCAAGCTTATCTACGCTAGGAATGGCTTTAATCACAAAAACGCCGGGTGGAAGTGAAACAAATGGCGAATCTCTGCAAGATCTTTCAATAACAAGTGATACAAATACTTTAACAAGGCGCGAATCTGGGATTTCTTTAGCTTCAGGGGTTTATGAAGAGATTCCAGATGTTCCAAATGGTGCTGTTAAGGTCAATAGTGGTGATTTTTCACATCACGTTTATGAAAATCCACTAGATGTTATTGATCGGTTGGAGAAGCATCAAAAAATTCCTCCTCCACCATTACCACCAAGAGTTTTCGATCGTAGTTTTACATTAGAAAGGTAAAAAAATAATTATTTTATGTTATGAAGTTAATTAAAAGTTAATCTTTTTTGTAGAGATAGAAATATTGATAAAAACGCACAAACTTCAACGCCTTATAAGCATCGCTGTAACACATTACCCGCCAAAGATTTGGCTAGGATATCACAAATATTTACAAATGAATCAGAATACATGGTCATGAGTCCCAATAAGGGGAAAATAACCGAGAAAATTGAGTGTCATTATGTTCCAATGTCGCCCATTGTTAATTTAAAAACGAAAATTGAAAGTTGTTACATGGTGATGAATGGAAAAAAGAATTGAAAAGGATTAGATAAGAAATGAAATTGAGTTGATATTAATAATGATCAGAAACCAAAAAATAACCCAAAAATTTCACTTTTGCCAGTTGTTTTAATTAATTTATGAATGTAAAATAGGACAGACTCAAAAAATGGGGTTTATATAATTTTATGTGTGTATAATAACCTAATACTCTTAGTAAACAAATAGGAGTCGTTTTGGAAGAATAATTCTTGATTATTATTAATTATTATATAATAATGTAAAATTATATACAACTGATTGTGAGTGTGATGTCTGTTTAGCTTTTAACAAGTGTTCAATAAAAAAAGTAACAATTTTAGAGTGCCCAATTTGAGATAAAGTATCAAATAAAATTGCGGAAAAATAAACTAAGCTCTTCAAATCATTTTTTTTTTATTGAACGCTATATTTTTAAGATCACTTTCTATTTATATAGATAAATTTTTAGGAAAATTTTTCGAATATCACAAGACTGAATTGAATCTTAAAAAAGAATCGGTCATTTAGAATAACTTAAAAAGAAAAAAGAAACAAAACGATATTATCGAGTCATATCAAGTATTTGTCACAAAAAAAATCATCAATTATCATAAAAATATCGATGTTCATGTAGTGCCATAATGTGTCTGTTTTAATTTTTATTTAAAACGAAAAAAAATTAAAACAAAAAATTCGATAAGGCTTCAAATTTTAAAATTATCTAAATTTAAAAGTACAAAAACGTTTTGCTCAATTTTTAAACGTAAACCAAAAAAATCGGCGATTTAAATTACGAAGATAAGCAACTCGAAATTTTCTTTAGATGAAAAGCCTTTACTTGCCTAATTAAAATTATTGATATAAAGCACAACTTTCACATCTTTTTTTTTGAGAAATAAGTTTTATTTATTCCTCTTTATTTACAGCATTAAAATCAAAAAAACTGAAAGTATTCATTTTTTGTGTTTATGTATTTATTTATTTTTATACTTCTATTTAATAATAATTTTTTAATCAAAGATCGTTAATTAATTTATTTTAAAATAAATGTATAAAGCATCAACATTAAATTGACATATTTTGATTAAAAATTGATTAACTTTGATTAAAGTAATTATTACAAAGGATTTAAATCGAAATTCTTTCCAAAATATGAATATTAACGTGTAATATTTTTATTTCGTATCTTTATTTTCTTATTGTACATATTTTTTTGTATAAATATTTTTATGTCTGTTATAAGGCATATTTACATTTAAAAGAAATACGAAACAACACACATTTATAAATAGATTTATAGTTATTTTTGAAGTTTGCATGTGTAATGCATCGTTGTAATAATTAATTAATAGTTTATCGCGAAAACCGCTTGATGTGCATATTTAAATGTAAAACGTTCGTTATATTCGATATTTTGTACTTTACTACTTTATTTTTATGGCTTAATAAAAAAATTCGTCAAAATAAAATATTTATCTTTTAATTGCATCCAATTTAAATTGAACGATAAAACGTTATCACTGAAAGGTGTGTATCAAGTAATGGAAGAATGATGAAGAGTTCACACTAAGTTGGCAATAATCATATTACGATCAATTATTCAAGTTAAATGTGTTTTGATCTAATCTATGAATCATCAAATAAAAATTTTAATGATTATTCTAATCCAAATTAAGTGCAGTTAAGTCATAGCAGTTAGTCACATTTTTATAGACATGTTATTTTTATCGTAGCAGAACAATATTTGCAAAGGTTTTCTGTTTTGTTTTCTGTACGTTTTCGTTGATTGGGAACTACTTTGAAATAGAAAGAACTAGAAATTGTTGAGTTAAGCTGTGTGTCTCTTGAAAAAGTGTTTGACGTATCAGATGCCATGTTGCAATATTTTTCAGAAACAAATTTGAAGTGTATTGTACGACGATATCCTTTTTCTTCAGCTGAAACATAAGGGAGGCAGATGCTTGCTCTAGTTTGGCCAACGCAATACTTCCCACAACTGCATGATAGCTGATAATCTCTTTAATAGTAATTAAACCAATGGTAGTATTAATTTATCTTTAGGTATCGGAAGAGCGTTCCGTATTTTGCTGATCGTACCATACCATACCACGATGTCGTTCTTCAGATACCTTGCACTCCTCTTCGTCACACCTGAAACATTAAGGAGGCAGCTAAAACCGGTGGGTCTTCCTTCTGATTGCGTTACCCTGTGGCTCGCTGGATATCTCTCAGGGTAACCATTCTTCTGCATTACATCTTCTAGAAATCCTTCCTCTTTGTTTAAATTCTTTTTGTTGCATATCCTTTCTGCTTGCTGATACAGGGCTTAGATTACTGACTTCTTCTGTTGTGAATGGTGATGGGACGAAGCCTGTAAATGTGGGCCGTCTTCCGATACACTCCCGATTCCATGTTCCCGTCTGTCTTCCTAGTGATCAAAACATCCAGAAAATGTAACAGCTTCCGTTTCCATGGTAAATTTGATTATGGGGTGTTGTGAGTTCAAGTACTCTAGGAATTTCAGGAGATACTCTTTTCCTGCTACCAGATCACAAAGGTGTCATCAAGATAACGTAGCCATAGCTTTGGTTTCCACGGTCTCTTCCTTAAAGTTTCTTCCTCAAACATTAGAGCAGAGAAAGTAAAAATTGGCGATTCCCGGTGACAATGGTGATCCAATAACTGCTCCTTCGCGTTGCTCGTAGAATTCAACCTTCCAACTAAAATATGTAGATGTTATTTAAATATGTTACAGTATTCCACTAGCCCTGGAACATAATTCGGTAAGCCCTCCGTTTATGGCGAAGACCATTCACGGTATTATTGACTGGTATTCTTCAAACTTTACATGAATTCCACAAAATGCGTATAATCTCTGACAAAATCTTGGAAACGTGTTTCGCCAGCTTATACGTTGGAGAATTTATAGCACTGACAATCCGGCATAATTTAATTAATAATACTTTGAACTTGTTTCTGAAAAAGGTTGCAACCGGCTGTAAAAGTCTTGTACACTTTGATATTTTTCTAATTTGTTTTGAGTTTTTCTATATGTCCTAGGAGTGACGTATATGTCCCATCATAAATGATTTTAATGATAATCATAGTTTGGACAACATTTTATAGAAAATTTTTGACGAGACCCTTAATTTGTCTTAAAAACCATAATGTGTCGTTTTATTGTCAAATTTCAGAGAGTCCAGAAAAAGATCATGAATCCAATGAGCTTTGTTCGTTGGGACTGCACTACTCTGCACGACATGGCACTCGTATGACGTCATAGTGCAATGAAGTGTAAGTAAGTGCAATGTCATGTCAACTTAGTGCAAGTCAGAAAAGTGTATAAACCGTGATCGCAACGAACAGATTTTTATAAAAAAAGTGTATAATATTTGAAATGGACGAACAGGAGATTATCAGCGAAATACTCGTGGAAAATGAAATCATCGCAGAATGTTTATTTAGTAGCGATTCATCAATTATTATTATATTATTGTTATTATTTTATATTTTTTCAACTATTAGCGAAATATATTTTCTACCCCAAACTACTAACCCTTGTAAGTTCTTTCAAAAGTTCTACTTAACGTATAAAGAAATCACATGCAAAATTGCACCAAAATCGATAAGCAGTACTTGCAAAAAAAAAATTTGGGGTGGTGAGGGTAGTTAACCCCAGCCACCCCTAAATGAGAAAAAAAACATAATTAATATTTTTAAATGTACTATAAGTGTATTTAATGCCGCCAAAATCGACAGGGTAGTTTTTAATATATTCCAAAAAAGTAGGGGTAGTTTTCTACTGCCTCTACTGGAATTGAATATACTGTGTTCTTTAATACAACAAATATTAATTATTATAAGGTTTTATTTCTTAATATTTAATATTATTGAACTTAATCGAAAGCAGGTGCAACAAAATCTGCACTAACTTGCACCCGCTGCACGAAATTGCACTGTGCATGGCCCAACGAACAGTATGAGTGCAACTGCACTAAACCACACTATCCCGAACGAACACACAACATCTGCACTAAACTGCTTAGTGCAAGTAGTGCAGTCCCAACAAACAAAGCTCAAAATACAGGCAATGTCACAATAAAATATTTATTTTTATTGTCATTCTTGTGTGTTTATCTGACGTAAAAGCATAACGAAATTAGAAAGAAACTTCTTCTGCGTCGTATTATTTTATTTTATTCTTAGCGCCTAGGTATATGCATCCATGAGTTCTTGTATAGTTCATCTACAGTATTTCCTGTATTGGACTTATTTAGGTTTATTTCTAATCCCAAGTTTCTGCTTTTTTCTCTGACCAAATCCAACATTCTATGGAATTGCTCTTTGTCTTTCGCCAACAGAGTCACATCGCCGGCATATCAAAGATTAGCGAGTTTCTTTCCACCAATTGAAACCCCCTTTGCTCTACTGTTACATAAATAGCGACTTTTAGACTCATTGAAGTCAATGAATGAATATTTATCACGCCAAAAGAATTCGATACTATTTTAATGAACGAGTCGATTTCTGTCAACATCCAACTGTATATGGTCATATAGTAAAAATGTATGGGTAATAATCTCTAAATGAGGATTTTGGCTAAATATTGGTTATAAACATTATGACGTTATCTTCAATGGGCAGTTATTAGATCAGATAGTTATCTGCCAATTGATTAGCATCATGGTCAAATTTAGATTTGTTCCACATTACAAATGGTGTTACTGCAAATTCACAATTTCAGTGTATAAAACTGTTTTTCATCTTTTGTGCGCTTCTCTTTGCTTGTTCCTCAACTTGCCTTTTAAAAACGTATCTATTAGAAGCTTCATTGATATTTTATATGTTGTGTTATATTGTATATGCTGTAGACATTAATCGTTTTCAGTCATTTGTGTTCCCACATTTTTTTTACAACTTGAATAATGCACTAATTAAAATATACCATTGTATAATCAGTACTTGTAGTATTCTATTTATTGGATCCATGCCATTTGGGTTTATAAAGCTAATACATTCTATTTATATTAAGAAAATTATTTTGAATTGATTAATGAATGAATGACGGTTCTTTCTTTGATCTTCTGGAACAACTCTGCCAATACTCTTTTCTTCAAAGCTTTTCTTATGTTCCTGAAATAACCAAAGTGCCAAGAAAAAAATCTTTGTCTTACACAAGAAAGTAAAAATGTTTAAATTATGTTCTATAACTTTATTTATTTGTAAATAAATTACAATTACAAAATAATATTTACAACGAATTTCAAGAATTACTATTTAAATTTATCATCTTGCTACAAAAGTCTACCCAAAAAATAAAAATTGTTAAAATTAATTTCTACTGTCTTTGTACCGCCCTTTTGGCTTTAATCTTTTTATTTCCCTGTTGTTGTTGTTGTTGATTTGGGGGATTCCCGGTAAACCAATTTGTCACAAAATCAGAAACGGAAACATCCGGAAATTTAGTTAAACTCCCCAAATTTTCCATTTCTTTCTTTGTTTCCGGATCGTTCATCATTTTTGGTAAAACCATCACCAAAATTAAAGGTAAAACCATCATAAGAACCATTGGATTGAAAATAAAATCGGTAACCCTCCATTGTTCCCGAATTTGAAAATATTTAGTTTTACCCAACGGTTTCAAACGTAACGGATATGGCACTTGAATTATTTGAGCTGTTTGGATATGATTTACTTTTCGAGCTCGGTATTTTCCCTTAGAATTGATCTCAACACGAACAGGTTCATACGATAACTCAGGATTTATTACTTCGAGAATAAATGATCCCGATGGGATGTTATGAACGATGAATGAGCCGTCTTCTTTAACAAAACCCAAGTACTCACCACCGTTTAATTGAATTTTTGTATTTGCTTGCCAGTTTTGTTGAGAAAATGGGGCGTCGAAAGGATACACTTTTCCTTCGATTATATAGCGTTCTTTGTCGTCATTTTCTTGGGATTGATCGTTTAAATCAGCTTTTGTATATGCAATTAAAGGGATTATTAAGAAAATTAGGAGAAAATTGCGCTTTTTAGACATTTTTGATAGATATTTAACGATTACTTGACAGATTTTAGGTTAGTTCATGGTTGAAACAACGCCATCTGGTGAGGAATATAATTAGATTTTCTTAATTATTAAGTGTTTATTAATAAAAGTAAGATTAAATAATATGTGTGTTGTGAATAAATATGATTTATTGATAAATATAAATAATTTCTTTTCAAAGGATTTTAAATAAACCTAAAATAACAAAGTCCCTAAAGAAATCACTAATTTGCAACCTGTTCCGATTTTTAAACTGCGCATGCGTACCAACATTCGAATACTTCTTCAGTTAACACACGGCTTCGTGAGTGTTAAGGTGCGTCTCTTCGCATTTTAATTAAGACTTTCCCCGGACGAACTTTTTTTTTATTCTTTGCTTGGTACAAACCAAAAATACACGTTTTAACCGGTAAGATGTGCTAGAAAAGGTAAATTCTTAAGTTAAAAAAACTTGTATCCGGTCGGTCACCGATCGAGTGACAAGAAGAAGAAATAACACGAATCTCAGGTGAGTTATTTGTTTGTTGTACAAATTGGGCGTTGACCGCCAAAGAAACCTGGTATTGGATTTTAAAGGAACAAACCTGCTAGCTGATTGATTTTAATTTACATTTATTGAGGTTTTGTTAAAAAAAATATCTATTTTAATGGGCGTTTACGGTGTGAACTGTGATGGAATTTACAGGTGAGTCATTTTCTTAATTATTGCTCGTTTGGTTTTGTTTACATCAATGTTACGTTTCGAGTTGTTATAGTTAGAGGGTTGGAAGTTTTTTTTTGGAGGTGTTTATTTAAACTTAAGAAATTAAGTTTCTGGTTTGAAGTTTTTAGGGCTATTGATGATTAAACATTGAACAAGAGCGTTTTAAACTTGGTGTTGAGTTTAATTGGAATTATTAGGATGAGTAATTTCTTGAATATGACTTTGATTATTAAAAAGTTTATCAAATAATGTTGGAATTCTAATGAAGAGGTTGATATTAAACTTTTTTTGGCGGGATTATTGAAAAATTATAATTCGTGTATTAGTATGCGCAATTTATATTTTTAATTACGCATTAACACCATCTTTTGTTGGGTAGCTGCTTTAAATGACAATATTTAAGCGCATAAAACATTGGATATGTTGACAGCTAATAATAACAATTCTAATAAATATTAATAATTGTAAAATGTTGTGTATACAAAACATGTAGGTAAAAGCATTTTGTTTTAGTTGTTATTCAGCTTTAGATTGTATGTTTTTATTAAACTAAAACTACAACTAATACTAGACCTAGAAGTAGAAAGTTTTGAGTTTAGCTGTGTGTCAGAAGAAGTTAGTTCTATTGCTGGTGTTAACAACTAGAAGTAGAACTTACACTACATCTAGAACTAGAAATATTCCACTTTAGCCGTCTTAAGAGACGTACGTCTGTTAATCTTTCTAGTTCTAGCTCTAGTGTTAGTTCTACTTTTAGTTGTTCACTAGCACTAGAGCTAACGCTGGACCTACATTGGGTCAATAAAGTATTTAAACAATGACCAATTATGAGGTACTAATATATTGCAATAATGTATTAATATTATAAATATATAACATCAATATAATCTACTTATAAAGCATCTTATATCTTAGACTATAATATTACTTAAAGATTTAATTAACAAATGTTTCATTAAACAAAATCGAAATCAATAAAGTATTTGAACAGCTGCACTTTTTCCCCAACATGATTGAAACTACAATAAATAAGTATAGGAATGTTTATAGATAATTTGTGGAGATTTATTTATATTTGCAATATTAATACATTATCACAAAGTATCAGTACCTCATAATTGGACGCTGTTCAAATGCTTTATTGACCCACTGTACCTAGAACTAGAAACATTCGGATTTAGCCTTTCGTCTATTAGAACGGCTAAACCCTAATATTTCTAGTTCTAGATCTAGTATTACTTCTACTGCTACTGTTAATTCTACTTTTAATTCTTACTCAAATATTCTCTTATCTTTATTTTTTTTATTACAAATCACCCCTTTGTATTTCACCCTATTAAAATTGAGGGAGATAAAATTACATTATCGCTTACATGATTTATTCTTTTAATATTTACTGATCTGATGGGGGGAAAATTTTACACATTTAATATTTATATCTATTTCTTTATTCATTTTTAGTTCCTTTTTTTACATTCTGACGTCAACATCGGCATAAAAACTTGTCGCAGTACTTCGTAACACGAAAAGACATCTGCACATTTTTATTTTAAGAAAAGAAAAGTAGAAATAACACGTTTATCAAGTCCACCCCATTTTTTTTACTATAAACACGTGCCTCGAACGGCATAGAAAAGTACTACCACTATTGGCACGTTAAAAATAAAATTAGCACATGCATTGTTGACTGGGAGGAACACACAAATAAAAGAGGGGTTCCGAATTCCCTTCAACTGTAAAACGTGGAGTGCAGCTGCTTTATTATTTTTGATGAAATCAGAACGAATAGGAACATGCAAACTGTATTGAAAGTGTTCCAAGTGAAAATATTTCTACGTTAAACTTGTTTTTTTAAAAACAACATTTAATTAACACTTTTCTTGCAAGAATACATACTCAAAGCGGTTTGAAACGCAATAATTGTCCTTAATTTGTAAGGATTAGGGTGAATGAACTAATCTATATAGATCTTCAACACTTTAAAAGCAACAATTTCTTATTTACTAAGAATATCGTTGACATTTTTAAGTCTTAAAGACATTCTTGGTACTCCTACTACTTATATTGTTTTGTCAATCTATTTTGAATTCTTCTGGCAACTGTAAAGTTCCGCCCTAGTTTCTAAGCTTTATCCAGACGTCCAGTAAAGAGATTCCCAACCAAAATAGAACACGGAAAGTTAATAAGCAGGGCTGAAATAACAAATTGAGATCATTAACTATTTCGGACAATAAAACAACTATTAAATCTACGATTATAAAAAGAATTGTTTATTTTAAACCAACACCTCGTTTTTTACAACAGAAACGTTGTTTTTTACACGTTTTTTTTATGGTTGAAGGTGTAAATTGACTATTTCCAACTTGGCATAAACAAATCGAAGTTTCGGATTGAATTGATTATGAATCCTTAGAATGATTGAAAAAAGGACGAAAAAATAACGAAATCCGGTTGTCTGCGGTTAAAACTGCAGACATTATCGTTATAGTGATTCTTGTTAAGTACAAAAAAATCTTTGCAGTCATGCTTGGTTATTTACTCAATGAATGATTCATAAATTCTAATTCGTTCTCGAGAAAAACTGTTTTAAATCGTAAAAGAGTAATTGATTTGCAACAATAATTTTTCACTGTTGATGCTTGAAACTGATTTCTTAGATAATTTAGTGACGAATATTTTATTATATAGAAAACTTATTTATATGGAAATAAAGTTATTTACCGTATGGATGTAAATAAGAGAAGTTAGGATTTAGAATGCACGACGAGAAGTGAGAAAGAGACTGAGAAGATAGAAAAGGCGAATATGTTAGTTACCCCTTCGTGGTAACGTGTCCGGTCCGTCTCTGCTAAATACGTATGTGTAAAATCGATAAATTTGACCACAAACTTAAAAATAATTCTTTATGATTATACTTTGACAACATTATTTGTTGCAAATAAATTTATTTATAAAGTTTTGACACATAGAAAAATCATCATTTAAATTCTACCAGTTAATTTTTATCTAGTTGGTGGAAGAAGTTGTTTGTTCCTCTAAAACACAGAATATTTGAACTCTCTCTATTGTGAACAAATGAGTGCATTCAATTTGAAACCTATTAGTCATCAATTTAGAAGACATAGAGCTTTTAAGGACGACATTTTAGGAGGAATACTGACCAGATAGACCAGATCATTATGTGATGTGGATATGAAAATAATGATTTTTGTCCTTCACTACCAACATAATCAACGAAAAGAAGTTTTAGAATCATCTATGGCCTGTCTTAGTAACATCACTTAATGCAGCATTCATCCACTGATTAGGTCCAAACTGACTGACCAGACCAAGATCAAAACAGAGTACACCAACGTAGTGGAGAAAGACCAAAATATCCACTGTCCAAGGAAATGTCCTGAAAAATATTCGCCGAGTCTTAAAAAAAGTTTTATATTATTTTAGAAACTGCCAGATTATTCCAAGCAAAATATTTTCTGGAATAGTACAAAGTTCCAAGCTAATGAGATCACCTCAAAGAAACAGAAATGACTCACATAAAACCAAAGTATTTACTATTTTATCCAAGGTGACGTAAAGATAGGTTTTATATGTTACTTACGGAAAACATTTCTATTAAGAGACAAAACAACACTTAAGAAACATTAACAACAGTTAGCATTGTGGAAGCTAGTAAGCCAACCTAACCCAACCTCTCCAGCATGATATCTCGCCTACTTATAGACTTCGTCTCCACAACATCTGCATAATTCATTAAACTCATAACCAAAACCTGAAATTTGTGTGAACCATGAGATGGGAAGCACAAAACAATAAGACTATTGTCATGGGAATAAATTGAGACTTTATGTTTAAAGTTACATATTTTAAAAATGTACTCATCTTTTCATAGATACAGTGTGTTTTGTCGAACTTATTTTATTAATGCAACTGATGTGGTTTCAACATAAAAATTGATCTAACTAAATCTAAATTGAACTAACTGGTTAAATTTTAATGCTGGCAGACATTTACCATATAAATACAAAATTAACTGTCGACCCAAAAATAATTATTTCCACGAGAGAAGGGCAATGGAATATTTCAAGAAAAGTTTGATTACAGATAAAGTGTAGTATGCCTCGCAGTGCTAAAGATTTTTTTAATACCGATTATTTAAAGGTTGGCGCCACGGCACAACTGCTTGACTTGACCCATCCCCAAATAGAAAAGTAGGCTTGATACATAAATAACTATTTTCTTGCCATTTTTTTGTTGAATTAAAGATTTTTTAAACATTTTATGTTTTTCTAAAGAACAAGAAGTATCAAACGACCGTATGTGGGCAACAAGTATAATAAATTCTAATCAGGATAAACGATCTACAAGATGTTAATTAATGAAACAACTTTTTAAAAAAGCTAATAATTCAATCTTCCTCAGAGTATATATTATATCCTGATTAGAATTTATTAGACTTGTTTCTAAAGAACAACTAGGTATGATATTTTGGGTATTATAAATCATCACAATTATAACTGAAGTGCTTGTAATCAATAAAAACAGCCAATATTATTGGTATATCTATTTTAAGAATTCCCATTGTTTAACAGTTCGATATGTTAATTTACGTTAGTCGGATATATTGTTTTCTGTAGATTCTTTGACATAGATTTTTCTAACAATTATTTTTCCTAAATATAATAAATTCTCCAAAAACATGACTAAATTCTGTTCGAATTTATAGCAAATTTTTGCATTAAAGAAGGGGTGACCAACTGTTACCCAAACTGCATTAAGGGTGATTCATGTCATTTATGCATGGT